CTCAAAGACTTGTTTCTTTACATACATAGACACTGTTGATTTGTGTATCTTGTTTGTTAGTATGGGCTGGTCAAGGGGACATTATTAGTGAAATTTCTATCTCTATTAGATTACCTCTCTTCAAACTTCCATCAGTAGACCCCAAGAAGAAAATACTCTGCAACAAAGACACTGAACCTCCACCAATAGGCTTAAAGAAGATAATACTCATCTGTATAAACGTCTTGTGGGACTGCATGGAGGTCACACACTAATATTTAATACCCCAAATAAGACGTCAGAAGTTATTACATGTTGTTAGGAGCAGTTGCAGCCAAGAAGTTCAGGAAGGCGGGCTTGTGGTCCAACCTGATGGATCCCAGAAGAGGATTTTACCCTGGAATGGGATCAGCGGTTTTGTGGCTGTAGTTTTGGAAGTGTTTGACCTAACTCAGGTATTTTCGCCGTGCTTCTTGAAACTCACCATTATTCTCAGCGTAAATGCTGGGACTTAAAGAGGCATGTTTTGCGTACGAAGCAGTCGGAGCCAATTACTCTAGCCATTGTCCAGTTGGAAGAGTTACTCATTCGAAACTGGATTGTTACTCTAGCCATTGTCCAGTTGGAAAAGTTACTCATTTGAAACTGGATTGTTACTCAAGCCATTGTCCAGTTGGAAGAGTTACTCATTTGAAACTGGATTGTTACTCTAGCCATTGTCCAGTTGGAAGAGTTACTCATTTGAAACTGGATTGTTACTCTAGCCATTGTCCAGTTGGAAGAGTTACTCATTCGAAACTGGATTGTTACTCTAGCCATTGTCCAGTTGGAAGAGTTACTCATTCGAAACTGGATTTTTACTCTAGCCATTGTCCAGTTGGAAGAGTTACTCATTCGAAACTGGATTGTTACTCTAGCCATTGAGTTCCAGTTGGAAGAGTTACTCATTCGAAACTGGATTTTTACTCTAGCCATTGTCCAGTTGGAAGAGTTACTCATTCGAAACTGGATTTTTACTCTAGCCATTGTCCAGTTGGAAGAGTTACTCATTCGAAACTGGATTTTTACTCTAGCCATTGTCCAGCTGGAAGAGTTACTCATTCGAAACTGAATTTTTACTCTAGCCATTGTCCAGTTGGAAGAGGAAGCCATTGTCCAGTTGGAAGTTACTCATTCGAAACTGGATTTTTACTCTAGCCATTGTCCAGTTGGAAGAGTTACTCATTCGAAACTGGATTTTTACTCTAGCCATTGTCCCATTGTAGCCAGCTGGAAGAGTTACTCATTCGAAACGATTTTTTTACTCTAATTGTCCAGTTGGAAGATTTTTCATTCGAAACTGGATTTTTACTCTAGCCATTGTCCAGTTGGAAGAGTTACTCATTCGAAAGAGTTTACTTACTTGTCCATTACTCGAAACTGGATTTTTACTCTAGCCATTGTCCAGTTGGAAGAGTTACTCATTCGAAACTGGATTTTTACTCTAGCCATTGTCCAGTTGTAGTCAGAGTCTGGATTGTTGTCACCCTTTGACTGAGAAATGTTTGACTGTTTAAATCAGACTGACCGTAGCGTTCAAGCTGACTTGTGTTGAATTTTGTTGGGACGAATACTGGCCCTACTCAAGTATCGGTGAGAACCTTCGCAATCATACTCACTAAGCACCTTGGGGAACTTACCAGGGACCCATAATTAGAAAATGTACAGCAAAGAGAGATGCCTTAATGGATCACTACTTTGTCATACTTACTAAACACCTTGGGGAACTTACCCCATAATTAGAAAATGTACAGCAAAGAGAGAGGTTCCTTAATGGATCACTACTTTGTCTATTCTTATATCTGTGTGTACGTACTTCTCCTGCTGCTCTTTTGGACTGGTCAAGGAGGCATTACCGCTGAAATTCCTGTCTCTGTTAGATTACCTCTCTTCGAACTTCCACCAACAGGCACAAAGAAGATAAAACCCAGCCAACATAAACCTAGTAAACCACAGTGAATGAGAGAAAGAGCAACAAAACGGAGCCACCATAAACCACAGTGAATGAGAGAAAGAGCAACAACACAAAAAACCAGAGCCGCCACAAACCACAGTGAATGAGATTAAGAGGAAAATAACCCGAGCCACCATAAACTACAGTGAATGAAAGAAAGAGCAAAAAGCTAAAAGCCACCATATATCCTCTAAACCACCGTATTTGAGACAAAGAAGTAAGAACACGAGCCACCATAATAGATTAAAGACGGAGCTACCACTAGTATCCCCCCCCCCCCCCCAACAAAAATACTCTGCATCAAACAACATAAACCCTAGCTCCATTAATCACCGTAAATGAGAAAAATAACAAAAAGCCTGAGCCATCATTAACCACGTAAACCACTGCAAAGGAGACAAAGAATAAATAACCACACACACAAAACCACTTTATTTAGGCCACCTGGTGGCTAAGTATTTCCCTTCTTCGTTCCATATAATCCACCGTAAGCCATGTGAATGAATCTGCAAATACTACCATGATGCATCACTCCACGACCAGCTCCATACAGCCGGACGTGTATCACTCACACTGCACTTTGCGTCACAGGCTCTGTAGCAGGATTCTGAAATACTTTGGGTAGATTTGGAAGGAATTCCAAAACTAAAAATAGTGTTAACATATCTTCTTCTTCTTTTGTCAAAATCTGCTAGGCGTCGCAGTCTATCAGATGATCGGCAACCGAGCCAGGGCGCGCTCAGTCGCTTCATATGCCGTGATGTTATGAAGTCTCAAGTTGTCCGTGACTCCTTCAATCCATCTTCTTCTTGGTCTTCCCCTGCCTCTTGTTGTTTCGATTTTCATGTTGTATGCTCTTGATGCTGGCATCGTTGGTTCCATTCTCATTAGGTGACCAAACCATTTCATTCTTTGCTTCTCAATAAATTTAACGATGGGTATGGTTCCAATAGTTCTTGTGATCACATCGTTTCTCACTCGATCTCTTCTGGTTTTATTCGCAGCCATTCTCAAACATCTCATTTCACAGGTGGTTAGTTAACATATCAACTTTTATAATATCGAGTTTAACGGCAGAAAAAATAAAAGCGTGTACATCGCAAAAACTACATCGAATAATGCGTAGTTCGGATAATTACAAGCCGAATAATTATTTATTACTTATTTAAGTCGACCCATGTGGGATGCAATTTTTCTTTATTTGAAGCCCCACCCTGGCTTTTGCCGGGGGCCCTGAATATAGCCGGGCCATAAATATGGCCTAACGGACCTCTCCACGGGTGATCCTCATCCGCATGGTGGCACTATATGTTACCGGGTGTTTATCGCTAGTGGGGTACAACAAGGGGGGGGGGGGGGTGGAGAGAGAGAAAGAGAGAGAGAGAAAGTAGAATAATTCTACTGCAATACCTTAAAAAGGTGCCGGTAATGATAACTGTTGCTTTTTAAACTGACCTTGGCTCCGGGGTCGACCCAGACTCAAATGGGTACTAGGAAAAAGTCACGGGGTGATGCTGACCACCCCCTTCCCACCCGCCAAGTGTTAGTTGGTCTGAAATATATATATATAAATGTAGCCCTATATGCCCAATACCCTGAAGACATGGAAAAGGGTAATTTATTCAACTTTTACTGAGTAGCGTTGCTACCACCAACAAGAAAACAAAAGCACCGACTTTACTTAACAAGCTCTCCGTGTGGGTCCCGGGTTCCTATTGTGGGTAAATCAAAAACAGACCCATTGCCTTTCCAACACGCATGACGTAGGAATCGACTAACTGGGGCATCCATCGAAGTCCGTCAGGCAAGGAACCAAGTGTATGCATTAAAAAAAGCCAGATGTGTGAAACAGATGTGCACACAACACTCGGGTTCTGGAACAAGACTAAAATCCAGAGCTGAAAGAACACCCAAACATTTCTGCCAGAGTTTACAGCCAGTGAACGTGAAGAAGCAGAAGCACTTAATAAATGTTTGTGGTCGATAGAGGCAAGACTTGTGCGCCTATTATTTCTAGTTAAAAACAGGTAACTCCGCTAGGAGGGAAGAGTAGATTGGGAAATAGAAACAAGATGCCAATGAGCCAGTGCACTTATATACCAACTGACACCGTTATTAAGACATCTAAACATAATTATGAGTGTCACAAAACAGATTATAAACAGCCTATTCATACCAGCACTGTGCTAAAAGTGCCAGACTTGGACATTATCAAAGGTTAACCTTCGTAAAATTAACACCTGTGAAATGAGATGCACGAGAAAAGCCGCCAACTTGACCATCCAAGGTAAAGTTAGAAATTATATTATCAGACGGACTGTATGAACAACACCTTTCATTGAGAAACAGGAGATCAAACGATTTGGTCATTTAGTGAGAATGCAGTCAAAACAATTACCAACTTAGGCGCATGAAAAGATCTTAAGTGAAAGCAAGAGGCCGCTCTAGGAGACGTGGATTGATGACATTAAAAAGCGTCTACATAGACACAGAATGACAGTAGCCATTGCAGTCCATCAAGAATGGATCGCAAACTGTTCCTCCCCACAACGCTTACCGACAGAAGTGGAAACTGAGGATGGTGATGAACCCCGGTAACTGACTGACTTACTTTTTACCCCCCCCCCCCCCACCCACCAGGACATCACACAAGCGGTAAACACCCGATGACACAATGTGGATGAGGATCACCGTGGAGAGGTCCCAAAAACCGCGTTCAGCCAATTGGCCCTATTTATGTCCCGGCTATATTGCGGCCCCTGGCAAGAGCCAGGGGGGGGGGGGGGGGGGGGCTTCAAATAACGAAAAATTTCATCCTAAAAAGGACAGGAAATGTAATTAGCAATATAGAACCCCGGTAAGACAGTTGACGGAAGTTATCTGCCTAGGAATGCAAGGAGAAAGTAACGATAAATCTTTTTATTTCGGCATTTTGTCAACAAACCTCCAGATAAAGAAAATCCCGGGAGGAACAGTTTAGAAATTGTGGCGTTTCTGGACTTTGATTTCACTTACTGTGTCCAAGGCGATGGAAATAAGTTCGAAAACGGTTGAAGGCACCTGCCAGCAGATGTGTTCAAGACAGGAGATGATAATGTATGTTTAAGCTTATTTTTAACACTTTCTGAGCTGTTTTTGAAACTTGTCTGCTTGTCTGTATCAATATCATTATCATTTACTATCATCATACTGTATGAATTGAATCATATGCACATATACTATGTCTGTCTATATTTTTTCCTTTTTTTTTCATGGTCGATTCCTGCATATCTCCACTTCTTTTGCCCTTTATCTCGCAGTTCAATAGAGGTCTTCATTATGTCTTAGATTTTCCCCAGGGTTGGTTGGTAAGCAGTTTTTGAGCTCTTCTCGCCGACGAGTACACCGTGGCAAAAGTAGGATTAATTTCCGGTGATAATTTTTTCGCAAAATGCACAAATTATCACCATGACAGGCAGACCATCAGCCCCGACACTGGGTTTAACTTCTCCCCCCTGGTCCTAGGTCTAACTTCTCCCCTGGGTCCTAGGTTTAACTTCTCCCCTGGGTCCTAGGTTAGGGCAACAAGCTATCCTCCGACTAACGGACGGCAAATATGGCGGCCGCAAAATATCAAGTCGAGCCACAGTCACGTGTCATGTGTTGTAAACAGTCAAAAATTTAAGTGGAAAATAATAAGGAACGAAAACTAATAAGGAGCGACAAAAATGTTATATCAAATCGACTACTTACCAATAATTGTATGTCTTTATATCTGGAAATTATGGCACAGACGTTCTAAATAGTGCTCGAAAATCTGCTGTTTGTGGTTGTTACGCCAATGAAACTCGGCTAAGTACAATCGAAACAAGGCGCTGCTCGTTCCGCATTGGTAACGCACCTTTCTTTTTAGTAGCATCCACAGACCGACTATCCACCGAATAACGGGCACAAAGGATGTCGACTAAAAACAGGGCCTCACTCACGGGTCAATTTTGAACTTCCAGCGATATAATTTGCGGTTTTCCGGCTACTACTGCCTCCGCTGAGAGTAGCCCCCACGCTGCTCATGCGGCGTGGATTGGGGCTAAACTAGAAGACTAGGACTCACGAGCAAAGCTGCAGGAGATGCGGAAGCTGCTGCTCGTGGGTCCCAGCCATCTAGTTTAGCCCTATCTGCGCTGCACGGGGGAGACTCTCGGCGGCGAGTTTAACTCAGCGGTTTGTTCCGTTTCTCAAAATTGTCAACAGACACTAATCCTAGTTTTGCCGCGATGTGCTCGTGACCGCAAGTGCGCAATAGACACGTGACTGTGGCTCGACTAGATATTTTGCGGTCGCCATCTTTGCCGACCGTTAGTCGGAGGATAGCCGGGCAACAAGTATTACAATTACGTTACAGCCACCAGAATCTGTCACAACAGTCCAATTGAAGTACAATTGAAGGGTTGTGCTTGCAACTAAAACGATCGCAACGTTATGAAGGCAGGACTAGTCGTGCGGTTTGGCGCCTGCCCCTGGTGTATTTGCCAGAAAGGAATCCTAATTTTACACACTATTGAGACCCTAAGGTATTTTCTTAGCCTCGATAATTTAGGACCGTTATTCGGAGGAGAGCCGCCAACTCTACCCTTACTCCTAGTGGCCTCTTACGACATGCTTGGTAGGGTACCGTGTTAATTGTTCCTTGACTAGGGAAGGGGGAGGGGGGAGTGATGTGGAGGTGAGCTGCATACATCTAGAACTGGCCCTAACCCCAATCCACCTACGTCCCATGAGAGAGTGCATCCTAGGTCCCACAACTGTATGCAGCCTATGTGCCACAACTGCATGCAGCCTATCTACCACCCCCTGAAATATTAGACTGTCCTGTGACCTATGAATTTATCCTGCTTAGGGTAGGATATTAATAAAACACCTGATCTTGTTTGTGACACAGATCAGACTGAATGTTTACCATGTCTGATTTTGAGTATTTAGCTTTTTGAAAATAATACACTTATTTGTTTTTATAGTAGTTATTTATGCGTGAGAGCAATTACTGGGTAAAATTATGTGGCAATAAAAGAGTTGAGTTGAGTTGAGTCCAGAATTGACATCACAGCACTCGGGGCATTCCCATGCATATTCCGTCCTCATCTTCAGCAGCCAGCGCAGAGTTCCAATAAAAGAGATATGGTACTGGACTTATATTCTTATAGACCAGTTTGCCGTTGATGGGTGATTAGGGCAACATAAGGCCAGCCGCCTTTGCTTCCTATGACTTTATCTGGTACGTTTTTTAGGCTAGGCCGACCTGGGAGCCTTGTTTTGTACAAAACTTCTCTGACTCAATGTGAAATCAAACCCATGACCTTCAACCCGTTGTTGCACCACCACAGCTACCGTCACAGACAAGTGGTTATCTATTATTGTCATCTTCTTTTGCAGGAGAGAGAACGAGGGACTGCTGCATCTCCTGGAGGTGTTGACAATTGGTGATGATAATCTGAACAGAAAGTCCAGATGGTAAACAGCTTCTCTAACAATTGAGTTCCTAGTTGTCAGTTATGTGGTGAATTGATTCAGCCACTGTTTCCCATTAGGCGGCCTTCAAACCCAATACATGTGTGCCTGAATCCGGTGGACCAATTTCCACCATAACTTATAGGGAGCAAAGGCGCGCACCCACCCCCCCACCCCCCCTTTTTTCCACCATTTATAGATGTCTTTAAAGCATGTGTTTATACATTTCATATTATTTAAAATATATATATTTTTTTCAATAAGCCAGTGTTGAATTTTCAATTAAGAATCAACATCATAGCACTCAGGACACTCCCTTAAGTGCTCCATCCCCATCCTCAGCAGCAAGTGAAGAGTTCTAGTTCTGATGGTAGCAATAACTTTCTGATCGTACATCCATCTCGCCTTTCTCTTGAGTGTTGAGCGTCGGCCAGATCCCCTGGTAACTCCTCGCAGCGCCATTCTCCTCGGACAGTAATGATCTGTTTGTGCCTCCGCACTGTTCACTCACTTCCAAAGAACCCTCCCAGCATCTAGCTTGTCATACATCAGTTCACCACCAAGTGGTGCAGAACTGGCGTCTATTTCAAAGGCCATTCGGTACTTAAGTAAAAGTAAAGTAAAGATCCCTTTCACGCCTTTAGGCGTATCGGGCATATGGGAAGAGCGCCCATATTTTTACAGACCATCAGCACTCGGTGGGTAATGTGGTCAGCATTACGCCGGCTGTCTTTACTTTCCCAGGACAGCCCATCCTGGTACCCATTTGAGGCTGGGTCGACCTGCGACGTCCCATACCACAATAAAAATCCACGTTTCGATCGCGGTACTTTTGATTACGAGTCGGACTCGCAACGCCTTAGCCACGGACGCCGCCATTCGGGACTTAATAAATAGTAATTTATATTTTTTTGCTCTGTTAAACAAGGCTTAACCTCACCTCCACCTTACTCCGCCAATAATTTTCTAGGGGTAGGGGGAACCCAAGGGTTTTACATCTTGTTCAATTATGCAGTAATAATGATTATAATAATACAATTCTGATTAATTTTTTTGTATTATTGTGCAGTCCGTCAGGTCTTTTTTTTCCTTTCACTCCGGCATATCCTATTGTGAACAGCGAAGATAGTTCTCTTGAGGTAAGACCAATGAATATTAAAGGATAAAGAATGGTCCACGCCGTCTTTTTTTTAACCTGAAAAGCTAACATTAATGAGGATGATCAGTGACTAAACGAAGGACTTAATAAATTCACACAGTTTATAAGATTATCAGAGGTCCCGAATAGTTAGCATCCTTTGGATATTTTCTCCAGGTAATGCTGGGAAATCAGGAGGCAGATAGACTGGCTGGCTATTCACCGCTTGGTGGTGTACTGATGTATGACCAGTTAGATATTGTAAGGGCCCTTTGGGAGCGAGTAAACAGTGCGGAGGCACAGATAGATCATTACAGTCTGGGGAGAATGGCACTGCGAGGAGTTACAGGGAAATCTAGTCAGCGCTCAACACTTAGGGGAAAGTGTGAGACCGATATACAATCAGACAGTTACTGGTGCCGTCGAAATTGTAATTCTTCGCTTGCTGTGGAAGATGGGGACAGAGCACTTATGGGGGTGTCCCGAGTGCTGTGATGTCGATTCTTAATTCAACATTCACCAACAAGAGTCAGCCTAAAATTATCTGCCATAATCACAATCCAAAATGTGTGCAGAAGACAATGTTTTAAATAATGATACACATTGTAACAAATTTCTGAAAAAAGTGATTATACTATGTATAAAATAGCAGAAATATACTCTGAAAACTCAGCGAACACTTTATATCCTACTTATAACCATGAGGGTTGAACAGGGTAGTGTTGGGAAAATCACTACTATTACTGTTCCTTTCTTCTTCTACTTCTCTGTTCTTTATTCTGCTCTTCCTCCTTCTTCTCTTCCTTCTTCATCTTTTTCTGTCTTCTTCTCCTTTGTCTTCTTCTTCTTCTCCTTCTTTCAGTTTAATTTTTTGCTTGGATTCAGGTTTTCGAATGTAAATGCTACAGACACATTTTACGAATTAGTTATTTAGGACACAAAACTAATAAATATGTCAAAGACAAAAATATACAAATTTGCGGGACATCTGGAGCCTCTCTTGGCAGTGGTGAAACGTCGCAAGCTAGCTTGGTTTGGGCACGTGGTGATGAAACATGATTTAATTGCAAAGACTGTACTTCAAGGAACATTAAAGGGGTAGTCGAAGAAGAGGAGGGCAAAGAAGAAACTGGAATGACAACATAAAGAAATGGACAGGACTAAGTTATCAGGCCCTTATTCATCAAGCAAAAGACAGAGAAAGATGGCGGGTTTTATGTGCTAGTGCTTCCATCAATCTGGTCTGGTAGTCTTAGTTTCAGTTTCATAGCAAACGGGTCACCCCATCTTTGCTCCGCTCCTGTGCCAACGAAAAACACACAGAATGTTTATCACAGTCCCTTGTGGAAAGATTGACAGACTGCTGTCTCAGCATATCTAGCATACACTCGCATTAAAGCATACGGTAGCCATCCGAAGTGCTAACACAAACAGTCCAACATTAGAAATGCAGTTCGTCATTGATGATAGCAGAATTTGTCGCCAACAGATCAGCAGTTGCCCACGCGATCAATTTTAATCACATATGGGCACCGCCAACATTGCACGACAGGCATCACACCATTTTCTAAATCTACAATTCACACCACCGCGTAGGTCACAGTCGAAAAAACATTCAAAATGCAATCCGCAGCTCACAGTGTCACGCCATGCATTCAACTCAGAAGCTGGGCAACGAAACTATACCCAGTCTACAAATGGAGCAAAAATGCATCGGCCACCGTCCGGCAGAAGCAAAAATTTGCCCCTGGTTCGAAAAGTGCCACTGCCTAGTGTCCATTTTAACCGGAAGTCCATCAATACACCTCCATGACCCTAATGGGTCAAAGGTTATGTTATGTTATGTACGTGCTTACAGCAGAGCTGCAGTGTTTGTAGCTATCAGAATGCTCATTGCCACATGTTTTCAGCTACTTCATCATACTGTTGTGCTACAATACGTCACACGAGGCTCACATTCATTTCCTCACTGCATTTGTTTCCCATAACCATGTCTGTTTTGTGATTCTTCATTCCATTTTTCTTAGTATATGCCCAGTAAATTGTGATCTTTTGTTATTCTTATAATAGTAACTTCTTCTTCTTCTTCTCCCACTGTAAACAGTGACGGAATGTTCTGGTTGTTCGTCCACATCCAGTCTTTAGTCTTGTTCCAGAACCTGAGTGTTGCATGCACATCCATTTTACAGATCTGACTTTTTTGCATGCAGACAGTTGGTTCATTTTCTCTCAGGCAGATACACTTTGAATTAAAATGATGCCCCTCAGGCGACTTGACGCTTTCTTAATATAATACCGCAAACAGGGGAAATCTACAGGTCACAGGACAGTCTAATATTTCAGGGGATGGTAGATAGGCTGCATCCAGTCGTGGGACCTAGGCTGCATGCAATTGTGGGACCTAGGCTGCACTCTCTCATGAGATGTAGGTGGGTTGGGGTTGGGACCAGTTCTAGATGTTTTGGGGTCGGTATGAGCATAAGAAAGTCAGGAAACCCATCCTACCAACCTCTGAAATGTTGGACTGTCCTGTGACCTCATCTGGGGTAGGATATTAGGAAGAAACCGTGGACTACCATGGCATGCTTTTTGAGGAGTCAGTGGGTCTGTTCTTGTTGTCCCTACAATGCTGCCCCGGAACCCACACGGGGATAACACTATCTGATACCCGAAAAATAGATTAAGACTATATCAAGGCTTTGGACTATGCCAGAGTCACCTAAGTTAATTTTAGGAGGTTTTCCCTAAGTGCATTTTCAGTGCGGTTATTTATGACTTTATAATATGCCAAAGGAACTTCTGTGAATTCCTAAATTAATTTGTACTTTTCATGCAACTATCCAATTGTCATTTTCCATTCAGTATTCAAGGATTTAGAATTTGATGACTCTTTGATTCTTTTTTCTTTTTCATGTTCACCAGCTGTGTACTCTGGTGGAATATTCTGGTTGTTCATCCACTTCTGGACCTTAGTCTTATTGCAGAACATGTATATATGCACATCCGTTTTACAGATCAGGCTTTTTTTCTGTGCAGACTGTTAGTTCCTTACCACTCACTCTCAGGTAGAAGCACTCCAACTGCAGAGGAAATACTCCTAATTAATTGACATTTAGGACATGCTTGCCAGGTAGCAGAGGGTCTGTTCTTTTGGTGTGCCTCCCACAGAACCCACACGGGAGGTTCTTGGTTCTTCTTCTTGGTGTTCACCAGCTGTATACTCTTGTGGAAAGTTCTGGTTGTTCATCCACTTCTGGACTGCAGTCCTGTTCTAGAACTTGAGTGTTGCATGTGCATCCGTTTGACAGATCTGACTCATTTGTATGCACACTGTTGGTTCCTTGCCTCTCAGGCAGATGTACTCCGACTTTGAAGGAAGCTCCCAATTAGTTGACTCTTATGACATGCTGCTTTTGGGTAGGCAGTGGGTCTATTCTTGTTTTCCCTATAACAGGGCCTTGCAACCCACATGGGGGAGTTCTTGATTAATTTACTCATGTCTGTACTTACAGCACAAAGGCGGATCCTTCTAGAATTGTGAAACAGTTTTCGAGACCAGCTGCAGGTCGTGCAGAAACAGATCCATCAGATCTTCGGCCTGCCCCGGTTCTCAAAGAAACCGTGACCTACTTGTTTGAAAGGTAGAAGGTTTTTAATTTGTTGTGGCGAGTGGCATGGTGTTTAGTGATAAGCTTGTTGGTGGTATGATAGTTACTGGCATAAAGGTCTTCTTTGTGTGTGTGTGCGTACATGCGTGCGTGCTTGGGTGCGATTTTCAACCGTTCCATCATGCTGAGAGAAGAAATACAATCTGGAAAAAAAGTATACTGTACCCTTCGACATCTACTAAAGTCAAAGTCTGTCTTGCAACACCAATATCAGTATATGTAAAACGCTGATAAGACAACTTGATTCATGTGGCTCTGAAACTTGGAGCACAAAAAAAAAAAAGATGCCTTAAAACAGATCTTTTAAAACTGAGTCTTGCTGTTGGTCTTTGGACCCATCAGAGATGTAAACAGTGGGGAATGGAGGTGAGAAGCAACAACAAAATTCATAATCTGTTTAAATCACCATTGATCACTGGCATCATGAGAGCTAAAAGACTGCAATGGTTGGGGCATATTGAGAGAATGTCAGATGACAGAGAGGTCAAAACTGTACACAATGGAACTGAATGGTCGTAGACCACGAGGCAGACCAAGAAGATGTTGGAGTGATAATATGCAGAATGACCTACAAACAGTTGAAATCACCAACTGGAAAGAGAAGGCTAACCAGTTGAGTGGAGGTGGGTGATATCTGCAGTAATGAACCTCAAGGGCTTGGAATGCTGAAGTATGGAAGTTGTGCTGTTGATAGGAGCACTGCTGATCACTGGGTTCTGAGAGTTTGAGGTTCACATAGTGAACAGGTGGACATGAGGACGTTATTTATGGTGTGAAAAAATGTCTACTAACAGGAGAAACCTAATACAGGCAGGGTGTTCATGCCTTTGTTTGGCATTAGCGTAAGATCACAGAAATTGATGGAGATTGTATACAAAATTATAATATTCCTTTTTTTTTCACACTTACTGGCTGTAAACTCTTCCATAAAGTTTTGTTTTTTTGTTCAATCTGGACCCTAGTCCTATCCCAGAACTTGAGTTCTGTGTGCACACCCATTTTACAGATCTGGCATATTTCATGCAGTCTGTTAGTTCCTTACCTCTCAGGCAGATGCACTTTGACTCTTCCTCACTTTTTAGGCAGATGCACTTCCACTTCAAAGGAAACACTCCTTGATTAGTCGACTTTTATGACATTCATTGTATTGACAGTAAATCTTTTCTGTGTCTGTTTTTTTTTAATTCCCAGAAAAGGGCTCCGAACGTTTTCATTTCTCTGACTAATACACAGGACTTTATTTTCTCACCAGCGTTGTCCCGAGGGATCATCCGGCATGGTCCAGTGTTTATGAGTTTGTGTTTGACCGCTTGAGGGCAGTGAGGCAGGACATGGTCATTCAGGACATCACAGGAACTGATGCTATCTGTCTTCTTGAGCAGATTGTCCGATTTCACGTTTATGCCTCATACAGGTTTGAATGATTCTATGTTTCTTAATGAGGCAATAGGAAATCTAAATCACTGTTAGAGTTGAAATCTGTGATTTTTCTAAATCACTAGAGTAGTTGCAATGTATGATTTTTCTAAATCATTGGAGATTTTTATATATGTGAGTTTTAGAAATCACTAGGGAAGTTGGACTGTGATCGTTTACAAAAATTACTAGGGGAGTTGGATTGTATGATATTATTTTAACTGTTTCAGGCCCATGAATTTTGACAGACTTGGCGTGCATTAATTTCCCTTGACAAAAAAAAAAAATGACAGAGGGGGTAATGTTAAAAAAAAAAAAGGACTAATCTGATGAAATCACTAATCCAACCCACACCAAGTTGTTTTATCCTTCGCTATTGCATGCAGCTCTCCACATGTCCTGCCCATCTTTTTATCTTCACTCTTTAGCTCCCTTATTTCTTTGCCCCTGTGGGGTTCCAGTGCAAACACGTTCTAGTTATATTGCTGTCAGGTTTTCTCAACATTTTTTTTTTTTTACTGTAGCGAACCTAAAAAAAAAGGATATATAATATTTAATGTAACTTCACCCCCATGTGGGCTGACAGATTGGCAAAGAAAGGAGCAACACATTAACAACCACCTACAGTGACAACCCTACAGACAGCAAAAACACTTATGAGAGCTATAAACAATGAGACTTGGTTGAACAGATGGGCCATGGGAGATACTGGAAGAGAGGTTTATAGACATATGGCTGGCCCTGATCCTAATGACAGTATTAACCATCTAACAAGAAGGGACCAGGCCACCATCTTCAGACTTAGAACGCAATATACTCAACTCAGTGGACACCTAAACAGAATACAGCCACAACACTCCCCAGAGTGCCAGCTATGTAACTACCCTACGAAACTGTTGAACACCATCTCTTTTAGTGCCCAAAACTCAGCGAGACTAGAAGAATGCTACTCCCTCCGAGACCAGACAAGTGGAACACCTTATAGGGAGGAAAAGAACAGCTTGTGAAAACATGCAAATTCTACTACATGGCATTGGGCCAAAGGGCGAAAGCTCATGCGCCGCTGGATCGATAACAACAACAACACCCCCATGTGGGATGCAATTTATTTTATTTTTTAAGGCCCACGCCAGCTGTTATCCGGGGCCCTAATATAACCTAACGGTTGAACAGGATATCTGGGACTTGTACCAGGGTGTTTCTCATTTAAATGGTGGCACTTTGTGTCACCAGGTGTTTATCGCTCGTATGGTCCTGGCTTGTTTGAACATCCGTCAAGCAGAGTGTAATCCTGTGACAGTTAGTAAAAGACAAGAACTCAGCAGGTGGTATGTTTACAAAGACAAGATTTTACAAACATATTCTTCACTTACCATGGTTTTATAGCCACATGAGCAGTGAATAACCAAATTTGAGAATAACACTTTAGAGTTTGTTCATTTTCCTAACAAATTCAAATGTTTCTGGGTTCAATGCAGCTCAGCCATAGTATGGTACTGTTTGATTTCCTAACAAATTCAAATGTTTCTGGGCTAGTTCAATGCAGCTCAGCCATTGTATGGCACTGTTTGATTTCCTAACAAATTCAAATGTTTCTGGTTTAGTTCAATGCAGCTCAGCCATTGAATGGCACTGTTTGATTTCCTAACAAATACAAATGTTTCTGGGTTAGTTCAATGCAGCTCAGCCATTGTATGGTACTGTTTGATGTGTTGGATGCAGATGTGACTGACTATCTCATTCTTTGCAAATGAAGTGGGTCCCCCTTGTTTTACTACATAAGAACTGCTGGATACTCTAACAGCTGACCGCTCAGCGACCGCTGGTGAAAATTAACCGTCTGAATCAATTACCGAAATAGTTAAGTTTTCATTACCATTGTCGGATTTAATAAACACCTGATTAAAACAATTTCAGAGCATCATCCAGTGAAAGTCGCATTTATCAGCTTGTGTTCGGAACATTAGTATCCATGGCCTATCGCAAATTAAATCAGAATATTCACTGTCTAAAAATGATGCTATGAATGAATTGGATACATTTTACACAAGAATTTATGAGCAAAAACTGTAAACAAAGTAGAAATGTTAGAGTAACTTTCCCTGAATATTTTAATAGTAGTTCCAAACATTAGAAACAAATACAGAGCAGTATGCAAATCAGTATGTACAGGACACACGATGGACGTAGACTGTGTGGTTTGGTCAAATCAGAACTTCTCAATCAACATGTATTTGCGTAGCTCAGGCCTGAAAGAGTTATAACATCTAGGGGTGTTGGATTGTGTGATTTTTCTAAATCTTAAAAGAATAGGTGTAGGAGTTTGGAAGCAAAGAATAGTAATACTGCACCTAACAGACATGTCGTAAAAGGTCAATGAGGGTAGGGTTAGGCTTGCAGTTGGCCACCTCATCTTGTAAATTCAGTAGCCACAAAAACCAACGAAATATGGAAGAAAAAAAAATGACTTGGTATAAGTCTGTTGAGGGCCTATGCCCCATTGAGGGATAGAAGGAAGAAGGAGGAAAGCTCTGGCTGTTCATCCACTTATGGACTTCGGTTTTGTTCCAGAACTTGATTTTTACGTGCAAATCCATTTTACAGATCTGGCTTACTTGTATGCAGATTTTTAGTTCCTCGTCGCTCAAGAAGATGCGCGTCAACTTCAGAAGAAAAATCCCTAATTAGTTGCCTTTTATGATATGCTTGTTAGGGAGGCAGTGGGTCTATTCTTTTTTTCCCCCCTACAGGAAAAACAGTGGTACAAGAGCGGTAATATTCCCATAGTTAGCAGTGTATTAATTACAGCTAACCTCCTTGTTATTTGAAGCCCCACCCTGGCTTTTGCCAGGGGCCCTGAATATAGCTGGGCCACAATGGTGGCCATAACGGCTGAAAGGGGTTTCTGGGACCTCTCCATGGGTGATCCTCATCCACATGGTGGCACTTTGTGTCAACGGTTGTTTATCATTTGTGTGATGATCTGGTGGGGTACAAGAAGCAAGCAATCATTGTGGAGACACACAGTATTTTAAAATTCTCTTTTTTTTTTTTTTTCTATCTTTCTTATGTTTTGTACTTTTCTATGCTTGAGAAACCAAAGCTGCCCAATGTCATCCTCACTTTTATCTTCCTCACACGGTATATCAATGAGCAGTCTGTATTTGTCTCTCCCTGAGGGACAGTGTTAGACATTCTGTGTTGTTTTTATTGGGCAGCAACGAAGCATCTACATTTTTATGGACCAGCAACAAAGCAACAAGGTTTTCATTGGCCAGCAATGAAGCAACAAGGTTTTCATTGGCCAGCAATGAAGCAACAACGTTTTCATTGGCCAGCAATGAAGCAACTACGCTTTCATTGGCCAGCAACAAAGTAACTACAGGGTGATCCATCTGCTGTGAAGTTGGAACTGCGATCACCTGAGTATATATAATAAACATGTATTTATAGCGTCTAGTAACTGCTTCTTTAGTTCTACTTCCTTCTATGAGTTCTGATCAATACTTGTTTGTTTGTTTATTATATATACGATTTCCATGTCCTCAAGGTTCCCCATCTCTATTCCTCACACAGGCTGCGAGGCTGCGACCTGGCAGTGTTCGACCCAGTCATTAACAAGCAACACCTGCTGGAGTGTTTAAAGAGATTGCTGTACTTATACCAGGTACTGCTATACCGTGCTTGACTACCGGCCCGGTGATCAGATAAGGGTACACCTTCTCAACTTATGACCTATGCAACTTATGACCATCTGCACTTATGACCTCAAAAATTATAAATAAATAAATACTTGTCAAAAAAGAAAGGTAACCACACTCGTAAGGTCAAAATGTTACCGGAACTGATGTAATAAGTACATATTTTTTATTTTTCACGTTATGTACAATAATAATTGGGCTGTGAATTAATACCAGGTATTAAAAGCAAACCAAGTATTGGGACAGCTAGCCCCCCTCTTACAGCATAAGACAATCCCAATCAGCACAAAGGGACATCTTATTCAAAGCATATTTATTCCAACTCTGTGCTACCAGTGCCAGACATGGTCACTCACAACAAACCATAAAAGAAAATTAGTAACCACGGAAATGAGATGTCTGAGAAGGACTGTGGGAGTGACCATAAGAGATAAGATCAGGAATGAGATCATAAGAGAACAAGTCGGCACAGAACCAATTCTGGATTACATACAAAGACAGCAAGTGAAATGGTTTGCCCACTTAGAGAGAATGCCTTGTGACACCATACCATACAAAGCATACATGGAAAGAGAAGAAGGACGTAGAGCACGGGGTAGACCAAGAACAAGATGGAAGGATAACATCAGAGAAACTCTACAACAGCACGATGTGCCTATGGTCGAGGCAGCCAGAAGAGCTAGAAACAGAACCTTATATCTCCCTCGACACCCACAGCGGTAAAAGAGGAAGTGAAGAAGAAGAAGAATTACACTGCTTTGCTGGTCTCCCAACCTAGTGGTCAGATAAGGATATACCTTCTCCTCAACTTATGACCTATGCGACTTACGACCATCTGCACTAATGACCTCTTAATGATAAATAAATAAAGAAAATGTAAATGAAGAAAGGTGACCACACTGGTGGGGTTAAAAAGTTACCGGCACTGATGTAAAAAGAGAGCATGATGTATTTTTTCATGTTATGTACAATAATAGTTGGTTTGTGAATGGAGGCATTACTAGATAGCTAGATGTGGTCAGATGCCTTTGGGAGCAAGTGGACAATGCAAAGGCTCAAACAGACCATTACAATGTGGAGGGAATGGTGCAGCGAGGAGTGACCAGGGGATTGACCTGGGCATTGACCAGGGGATTGACCTGCGGATTGACCTGGGCATTGACCTGCGGATTGACCTGGGCATTGACCTGGGGATTGACCTGGGCATTGACCTGGGCATTGACCTGGGCATTGACCTGCGGATTGACCTGGGCATTGACCTGCGGATTGACCTGGGCATTGACCTGCGGATTGACCTGGGGATTGACTGCGGATTGGCCTGAGCATTGACCTGCGGATTGACCTGGGGAATTGACCTGGGCATTGACCTGGGGATTCACCTGGGGATTCACCTAGGGATTGACCTGGGGATCTGGTCGATTGACCTGGGGATTGACTGGGGATTGACCTGGGGATCTGGTCGATTGACCTGGGCATTGACCTGGGGATCTGGTCGACACTTTACACTCTAAGGAAAGGCAAGATGGACATACAACCAACTAGTACCATCACATCAGCCACTGAGTGCTGAATGGTCTATAACAGATAGGTCTAGCCCTATGTGCCTGAAGGTGGGGAAAAGGGTCTTTACTAGTACCATCAGTGTTAGAACTCTGAAGGTGAGGATGGAGCTTCTATGGGGATGTCTTGAGTGCTGTAACATTGGTTGCTTACTCATCTAAACTGGTAAATAAACCAGAATCTGTACATAGACATTTTTACCATCTTCAGCTTTTGTCTTCTAACACCCCCCCCCCCCCAGTGGAGAATAGGCACTCATCCAACTCACACCAAGTCGTTCTATCCTTCACTGTCGCATGCAGCTCTCTCCATGTCCTGCCCATCTTTTTAACTACACTCTTTAGCTTCCTTCTCCATGTTTTTTTTTTGTCTTCCTTTATTTCTGTGCCCCTGTTGGGTTCCACTGCAAACACTTTCTAGTTATAGTGCTCTCAAGTTTTCTCAGTGTGTGTCCTATCCAACGCCAGCGTCTTTTCTTCACCTCTTGGTCCACTGGAACTTGTTTAGTTATCTCCCAAAGCTCTACATTAGTGATTCTATGATACCATTTCATTCCCTCTATTTTATTTTACAGTAGCGAACCTTAAAAAAAAAAGTATATCATGTAACTCTGCCCCAATGTGGGATGCAATTTTTTTCATTTTAAAGCCCCACCCTGGCTGTTATTGGGGGCCCTAATATAACCTAATGGTTGACCAAGGTTTCTGGGACTTGTGTCCGGGTGATTCTCATTTGATTGTTGGCACTTTGTGTCACCAGGTGTTTATTGCTGTATGGTCCTGGCTTGTTTGATCCTTAGTCAAGCAGAGTATATATATATATATGTATGTATATAGCACCCATATTTTTACAGACCAATCAGCACTAGGTGGGTAATGTGGTCAGCATTACACCGGCCCGTCTTTACTTCCCCAGGACATACATCCTGGTACCCATTTTAGGCTTGGTTGACCTGAGAGGCCCCATACCATGATAAAAATCCACGCAGCCAGTGGTGGGTTTCGATCGCAGTACCTTGGAATTACCCGTTGGACTCACAATATCACGGACCCTGTGATATATTATATATATATATATATATATATATATATATATATATATATATATATATATATATATATATATATATATATATATATATATATATATATATATATATATATATATATATATTATATATATATATATATATATATATATATTTACACACACACACAAATATATACACACATATATATATATATATATATTGACTTGGTACATAACAATTAATTTTCTAGTCACAGTAAAGCATGTTTTTTGTCCGCCAGGTAACGCCTGGTTGTCATAATAATCGAGCTGAGTTTGAAAGTGTGTACTTACTGAGTAACCTTGGCGACACCCATGCTTTGACCCACTTTCTCGACCTGAAGCCTGATATAAGGTAGTTTGTCATTCATTCATTCATTGATTCAGTCTCTTTTGTTCATAAATTCAAGAGGAGGAGGAGGATTTAAAAAAAAAAAATGGAAAAAGAAAAGAAGTAGAAGAATAAAACTTGGGATAGAACAAAGAAGAACCCCTGGATTCTGAGGCCCCATTCGGCGATAGACTCACTGCCCTTAACCGGCTGCCTTAAAATGGATTAAGGGTTTGATTAAATCAGATGTGTTGGGTGAAATGTGCAGATATCACAGCCTAGCTGTAAACCACAAAATAATGTGCAGCCACACTTTCCAGAGAGAACACAAAAGTTCACCTTTAATTGAGTCAAGAATTGACTTCACAGCACTCGGGGCATTCCCATGCATAGAAGTTCACCACACTACCATTCAATTGCTGTTTGGTCTGTGCAAGCGTTTTTCTAACACTTTATATCAAAGACATGAATGATACAGGTATTGAGGTGGACACGGAACAAAATGCCACGGAGAGGGCCCATCAGGAAGGGAATGAGAATGAAGGAAGAAATGACTGCAGAAAGGATGAGAGCTGAGCATCTGAGAAGAAACAGACCAAACTATCCTGAAATCCCATGCTATAATTTCCAATTTTTTCTCCCACAAATGTACATATAATATAGGAGAGTAGAGTTTTATTGACACAGCCTCGACCACTTTTAGCAAACGTCTGTTCAGTGTGTGGTAAATAATCCTGAAAGCACGGTCTTTATCAACTGCATGTCCAGAGTCAACCAAATGACGTCCTGTCGAAGAATTAGGTTCTCTCTTCTTGGCTGATCTTGATGTAGCATCTCCACTCACTTGTGTTTAGAGCCATTTAGGGATGTGTTCTGTCACAGGTCACATGATCACTTTGAAGTTACCATGGTAATCACATGTCTGATTTTGAAATATACATTCATTCATTCATTCAGTAGCATGTCCCTCGCGGAACCTTGCTGCCATAACAACCCTCCGGAAAACCTTCCTATCCTGAGCAAGATGTCCTGCGTCTGATACACCCATCTGGAGATCATCTGCCACATCCTGCACCCATCTTCTCCTTGGCCTTCCTCTTCCTCTCTTCCCAGGCATATACCCCTCCATTATTGTTCTCTCTAGACTTCCATGACGTTTCAAGTGACCAAAATATTTCAATTTTCTTTGTTTTATTGTCTTTACTAGCCAACCGTCTTCAATATTCAGCTCTTGAAGTATGGATGCATTTGTTCTTTTCTTTACCCAAGATATTCTTAGAACCTGTCTGTAACATTTATATTCAAATGCATTTATGCGCTGTTCCGCTTGTTTAGTAAGTGTCCAGGTCTCACAGGCGTATGTTGCAGAAATATACATATATTTTAAAAAATGTATTATGTATGAGGATTGTTTTCTAGAATACACAGGGTCATGACCCATTTTTATTAAAGGGTTACTGGGGCAAAAGGGTTAATAGCAAATGATGCTTGTGTGTAGTAATAAGCCCATATTGATTTTCTGGGTATTGAATGAACGTTACCTCCAAATAAGACAGAACATTTTGCCTCGCCTTCCTGGGTTTTCTTCGTCTTCTTCTCGGCGTTAACCGGGTAATCTCCGGCGGAAAGTTCTGGTTGTTCATCCATCTCTGGACTTTAGACGTGTTCAACAACCTGAGTGTTGTGTGCACATCCATTTTACAGATCTGACTTATTTTTATATGCAGACTGTTGGTTCCTTTCATCTCAGGCAGATGCACTCCGTCTTCGAAGGAAACCTTCAACTAGTCAACTCTTATGACATGCTTTTGGGTAGGCAGTGGGTCTAGTCTTGTTTTCCCACACAATAGGGCTCCGGAACCCACAAAGGGATTCCTGGGTTTTGAGCCTGTGTCTTCAGGAATGAAAACTACTACTCTATCCACCCTTGGACCGTTTGCTGGTTTAAATTAGAAAGCTTGTTCTTTAAACAGGAGACATCCACTGATACAGCAGTGTTATGCAATAAGTCTGGCTTATGTATTGAGGAACTACGCCCGTGCCCTCAAGCTGATCTCACGACTTCCGTGTGCGATGTGCCTGTGTGCTGTCAACCCTCATATAAATACTCTGCAAATGTGAGTATATTTATTGAAAGATGTACACAGTGTTGAATGTTGAATTAAGAATCAACATCATAGCACTCGGGACACTCCCATAAGCACTCCGTCCCCATCTTCAGCAGCAAGTGAAGATTTCCAGTTTTGATGGCACCAGTAACTGTTCGATTGTCCATCCGTCTCGCCTTTCCCTAGAGTGTGAAAGATGTACGCACAAAATATTTAGTTGATGAGCATATAAAAAAAATACAGCTGAGTAGTGTATAGAGAAAAGGTATAGTTAATGAATGTATAAGCAAAAGATATAGTTGTTGAAAGAATAAAGATATAGTTTAGTAATGTGTAGATATAGAGAAAACAAATATACTTGAACAGTATATAGTTGAGCAGTTTACAGAGAACAGTATAGTTGATGAATGTGAAAAACAAAAAAAGCAGATAATGAATGTATAGAGAAAGGGTATAGTTGAGAAAGTATCTAAAAGTGGTATAGTTGAGAAATGTATAGAGAAGGGTTAAAGTTAACCCATTTATAGAGAACCAGTATAGTTGATTAGTGAATTAATTGTATTGTATATTTGATGTATATGGATGAGGTGTACTTTTAAAAAATATATAGATAAGGTATAGTTAAGCCATGCATAGAGAATAGGTATAATTGAGCTTTGTATAAAGAAACAGTTTATCATTGTATAAAGAGTCACTTTTCTTAACCAGTGTATAGAGTGAGTATAAAAAAAAAGGTAAAGGTCCCTTTTCCACTTCATTAGGGCATATAGGGCTAGACCTATATTTTATAGACCAATCAACACAAGATGGGTGATGTGGTCAGCATCATGTCAGTCACCTTTACTTCCCTGGACTGCACCTAGTAGCCACTTAAGCCTGAAAAAATGTCCGGCTCCGCCAGGAAGAAAACCCACAGTCTAGCCGCTCCACCACAGTGACTCATATATAATAATGATTCAATTTTACTAATGTTACAGAGAAAGGGTTTTTTATTTTCTTGTTGGATGTAAAGAAAATGTATTTTTCATTGACCTAACTGAGACGCATCTTTCTTCTGCCTTTCTATCCCCAAATGGAGCATAGGCCTTCAACCAACTCACACCAAGTCATTCTGTCCTTCGCCATTACATGGAGCTCTCCCCATGTCCTCCCAATCTTTCTAACCTCATTCTCCAGCTGTCTTCTCTATGTGTTTTTCACCTTTCCTTTATTCCTATGCCCCTGTGGGTTCCAATGCTACTGAGACACATGAATTCTTAAAAAGTGTTTCTTTTTATTTTCTTCCCTTTTAAATAAAACAGCTAACTGCCGGTTGAGAGTGTCACGCAGAGTACACACCCCGTAGCTCAAGGGATGATCCCATGGATCTCTGTAAAAACTGCACTTGTGAACTGAACAACACATTCATGAAACTAATTCCTGACCTTAAGAGCATGAATCAAATATCTTGACCACTTCACAGTTGCAACCGGAAGGGACAAACTGTATATTTACTGGTCGACTTATACTAAAAGACTCCTCGTCTGGATCCAGGAACCCCATTTGGGTGTGGGGGGGGAGGGGAATAGACCCACTTCCTCCTAACAAGCATGTCATAAAAGGCAACTAATTAGGTGTCTTTCCTTCAAAGTCACAGTGCATCTGCCTGAGGGATGAGGAACCAACAGTCTGCATTCAGATAAACCAGATTTGTAAAATAAATGTGCATGCAAAACTCAAGTCCCTGAAAAAAAAGGGTAAAGTCCAGAAGTGGAAGAACCACCAGAACTTTCCGCTGGAGTTTGCACCTTAGGAACACTAAGACGTACACCTAAAAACTTGGTATCCAAAGACAGCTTCAAGAAACAGACACAGCCACTGCGGAATAAACTGTTGCCGTTTCTGTCTCCCCTAGAGACTACCTGCAGATCCTGTCTGCAGGCTACAGTGTCAAAAACTGCCGATTTGCGGTATCCAAGCTCAGGCAGCTGCTGCATCTTCCGTCAGACGATGAAACTCTGAGCCTCTGCTCCCGCTGTGGGCTGATAGATACGTTTGAGAATATCTCCACCGACAGTGTATGTTTCAACAGAACCGCCTTCTCCTTCCCAAAACAGCTTGAGGTAAGTAAGGTAAAGGTCCCTTTTCCACACCTTTAGGCGTATAGGATATAGAGCTAGACCTATATTTTATAGCCCAATCGGTACAAGATGGTTGATGTTGAACATGTGAGTGGTCTTAATTTTCAACCATTCAAAGTAATTTTGTGTGTTGGTAAATGCAGATAACTGTCATGGGATTCATGGCCTGTTTGAGAACTGTCATGGGTTCATGGCCTGTTTTGTTGTTGTTGTTATAGTGTGCACGTCCCCTCAAGCTTTAATAAACATTTGACCTAAGGTAATAAAGTTCATTTCTCTCACCAGGTTCCCTCAGCGTTCCCAGAATTAGACCGGATGCTCAGACAGACCCCTGTCTCTTCTCTCCTTCTTGGAAAGACGCCAGGAGGAATGGGAGTTAAAGACGCAGAGAGGACGCCGAAAGCAACAGGCAGAGGTCGGGGGAGGGGCAGGAGGCAGCAGATGGATAATTAAAGATGTTGCTTTGATGTAGACTTACATAAAAAGTCAAGGTTCCTTTACATGCCAAGGGCATATAGGGCTAGACTCAAATTTTTTAAAACAAATTGGCCTTCGATGGGTGATGTAGTCTGAATCACTCGAACCGCCTTTACTTCCCAGGACTTTACCTGTTGACTTATATGCCTTGTTATGTTTTTTATTAATCCAGCTGCGCATGAGCATTCGCCCTTTGGCCCAATGCCATGTAGTATAATTTACATGTTTTCCATAAGCTGTTCTTTTTCTCCATACAAGGTAGTCCACTTGTCTGGTCTCGGAGGGCATAGCATTCTTTTCATGTCGCTGAGTGATATGC